ATTTGTTTTCTCGAAATGCATAACAGTCCTTTTGGAGGGTTGCAAGTGACAACTTTTGTTATTTCGTGCCACCGAGCGTTATTGAAAGCGTAAGAGCCGTAAAAAAATGACAACATTTCATTGGCTTCTACGCAATGCACGATTTTGTTCTTCTGACGGGCAGAGAGAGCGGGGATGAATATTATATTTTTGTATTATACAGAATACAGTTATGGTGTTTGTTCTCGCTAAACTAAAATGAAATTTCGATTTAAGAATTTCATATAAACATCTACATACGACGTTTATGCTTGGCAAATAAAATCGGTTAATAATAAAACTTACTTGTACGCTTGCTTTTGCTCAGCTTTCGTCGAAAATCAACAATATTGTAAATTTGTTATATCATATTAGATGTGCTCGATTATACGTTTAATATTATTTTTTTTTTTCATTAAACAAACTACACAATTTTATACACTACTTATAATTTGAGTACATCTTACATTCTTACATTTTGTGATCTAAGGAGAAAAATAAGAAAACAAAAGATATCATACATAATATTAGGATCGTATTGATTATTTCCATACTTGTCGAGTTTTGGTTACCGAAAAAAATTACACTACACACTGAATATTTTGTAGTTCACTGAATAAATAGTGTTAAAAGTAGTAACTAAAATTTAGTTTAGTTTAATTGACAAAGAATAGTAAACTTTCTTATCAAATTGTTTTTTGCAGCGACAATACGTCGCGAGTAAATCGAAATTATTTATATTTTTTTCATAAGAACAAAAAATGTTAGGCCGCGAACGTTTTGTTATTGATATTAGACATAATTATATTTTCTTATTTATACTTAAATCGACTAAAGAATGCCGTTTGTTATATATATATATAATGTATTATTTTTTATTATTATTAGAATTCTCTCTTAGCTGTTTTTAAGGCAAAATAAAATAGAAAACTTGTAAACTTAGCGTGGTAACATCTGCGGTCTAGGTCGTCCCGCAATAATCGAAAGTAATGAACTTTTATGGTTAAAACATTTATTTGCCTTCAAATAAACAAACTATCAAGACATAATTTTTAAAATCTTTTGTAGTTGGTCGGAAGCGGGGTTCAAAAGATTGAGTCATTCATTGCCGGTTATATATTTTGATTATGTTTAAAAATTCGCGAATACAATTAATTTCTGTTTCTCTATCACGTGTACTATGCTGATATTGTTTTTTCAACTGTTGCGCTATAAGTATACTACGAGAAATCACGAGGACCACGCGGGAATCCAGCAAACAGCTGTTTAGCCCGCATAGTACAATCAAACTCGTATTGATACGGGAGTTAAAAGTTTGTTACTATTATTATTTTTTAAACAATTTTTTTCGGATAAATTGCCAAGGCTGTGGAGTCCCCGGTAGTGGACGTCGGACGAAGGCCGTCACGACCGCCTCCGCTGCCGATCGAGAGGAGCTGCTGTGCACCGACCCATAAATAGCCTATCGGGCCTCATCAACGCTAGATTAATTATAGCGGCGGCATACACACTACGACTACTACTGGCCCCTCATACTCTTTCTACTTTCTTCTCTTCTTTCACTTAACTCTCTAGTTCTCTCTCTTTCTCTGCTCCCACTTCGGTCTAGGAAAGGGTCCGAGTGTGTAGTCTATAGAGAACGACGACCGACCGCGCTCACGCGTCAGGCCCAAGGTTTTCGTCGTCCCCGTTAAGCCATGCATATATGTACAAAGAGCACACGTGGTCTCACAGCATTAGCCGAAAACCACATTATTATGCTATACTACGGTATTCAATTGGACAAACGTTTATACCTTACAAATACAGAAATTGTATCCTAGGGTAGTGTGCTTGAAATTTTTCATTTTTTCCCATAAGTGGTAAACGACAGTAAACTCGAGTCTGTACTATGTCTATGTATATTATAGTGATTTTGTATATTTTAGATGTAGTTCATTGATTAATTAGCAAGACTAGGCGTCATGAAAAATTTTTGGAAACAGAAGACGTAAAATAATATTATATTTAATGTCTGGTGAAATCCATTTATATATTACAAGTGATGGAGCGAATTCATTTAAATTCTTGTTAACATTTAACAAGAATGTCATTTGTAAACAAACAGCATCTAGTATTTACACAATTTGGTTGACGGATGATGTGTTAAATTTAAAAATGTATAGGTACTTCTGTTCTAAAATGTGACTTTTCATCAATATTTTGATTATAGAATATAGTGTAATATATTTTACAATTAAACAATATTTTCTTTTTGTTGTCAATAAAATATTTGATATTTGTTAAAATTATTTAAATGTTTAATACAATAAGCATCAACGGGTACTTGACAACAAAGATTCTGTCAAGAGGGGATTGGTTGGCATCCGGTAACGTCGTATTAAATTTGATGAATTGTCGCAATCAAACAACCATAACTATAACTTAAAACGATAAGTCATTAGAAACTTGAAATGTTACTGAAATTCTGTTTATTAATGAGGTGTGACAGTTTACGAATAATATTACTCAGTCGGTTAATTGAATAACATAATGTCTACCGTGAGCTTTATGAGGTGTTTGTAGTAGTGTATGTTTTAGATGGCGATTTCGAATTTTGTCCGTTTTTCTGTAGAAGGACGGCCGAGAAACGGGAAAATATTTTTTTAATTTATATGAATGTCATACCGTATGCCAGAAATATAAACAATAGAAAATTTGTATTTATTGTAAATAAAAAATGTACCTATTCATAAACAAATATATTCAGATGGCGAAAATATAATTATAAGCGTGATCGATTGGTTTTGGTGATTGTAAATTAACAAATACAGTATTGAAATGTTGTAGACAAATCACATTGATTATTACCAGATCAGCGGTGGTACAAACTTTTAATTGCTCTTATAACTTTAACAATAATACTATTGATTTTGGCAGCGTCTCAAATCTTCATTTTTTATAAGCGAAAGACACACATTGGAAGTAATAAAAACATACGTTTTGCCCTACACAATAATATTTTTATACTCATCATTTATTCTCTGTAGGTATCATAGCTGTATTCTGTAAATATAATCGAAAACGACAAATCTACTTGACGTCTATATTGAACATAATTATACTATTTTATAAAAATGTTAATGCAAATAGTTATCAAAACTAATTAATAAAATTAAAAAATATTACCAAGTACAAACAATTTTATATAGAATCACTTTTTGGAGATTTTAATTTGTTATACACAAAGTGACATTTTATTGATGCTTGGCCTTGGTGATATTATTATGACTTATAGTTTAAGAATATTAGTAAAGAAATAAGCTATTAAAATGTTAACTATTATTGTTATTCTATTGTTAATTGTTATATTTTTCGGTTTATCCTTTAACCAGGCATTTTATCTTTAAACATACATATATTTTATTTATAACTTTTCATGACCAACCTAAAAAGTACAATAAATTTTTATTTTTAAACATTAGCCCTTGTTAAGTTAAGGGTTATAAATGTGTAAAGTTCGGTTGTTTTAAGTCTTGCAACATTTTAAAACATCTAAGCGGTTCTTGAAATTCGAAGGCCTAACTGGTGTTTTTGTTTTTGATGTTTAATCTGCATATAGTACAATAAAATTAAATTACAGCGGTTTCGTGCTAATTTATCAAATAACAATAATGTACATAAAATAACAATCGGTTGCCCGAATGGACAAAGTGGTCATTGTTTTGAGAATTTTTAAATTGAATTCGCCGTCTATAGAATATTTATATACACATTTGTCTTACAATAGAATATAAGTCCTATTATCCGTCTATGGCTGCTAACGCATGGTGCGTTTGCATACAAACGTATCGCTGTCGTTATCGGTCGTGTGTTAGTATTTTTCCGGTTGAACATATTATTTGTATTCTCGTTGAATAATAATATACAACACTCGTTGCATTATAAACTACATCTAATATCTATGGTTTAAACTTAACAATAAAATTAGTTTTGAATTTAGTTATAATTTACACGGCAATCGCATTAAAAAAACGTATTGTATAATGACATTAGTTACTACTTATTACTTACCACTGTACACAGAATCTGACTGTTTTTAATGCACAAAATAGGAGTGCACTGTTCGATTGTAACAGTGCTCTGTTTAGTAGACAATGCATTTTGAAAATTACACGTTTTTCTACTATAATGTACCAATAAAAAAAACAATCGCTACATTGATTCTAATTTTTTAGTAACATTTCTATTGAGATGCGTGTGGAAAATGTGCTAGTATCAGCAATTTTAGGCAAATTAGACGGTTATGTACATTTTATGTTCCATTTGCATTTTACTCACAAATATCAAGAATTTATCTTTATTATCTATATTACCCACACTTAGTAAGAATAATGTGTTTTTAGTATTATTTTTTATTTGCTTTATTTTATATATATAATAATATTTAAAACAATAAACGTGGTATTAGACAAAATTATAAAATAACAGATAATGAAACATATAAAGTATTGCACGATGAAATTATTTATATAATTTACCAGTTGAATATATTTAGGTTAAATAAATAATAATGTTTTTGAGTTAAAGTTTTAAAATTTATGTACAGAAGGCTAATATACAGTTTTTCATACGTTGAATAATAAAGTTTTAAACATAATATATAGTACTTTTGGTTTATAAACAACAGTTTACGCTAACGGAATACTACATATTTATAACAACTTCGACAAAATTTAAAATATCTTGTATCAAATGTTGTGTTACAGTCGTGTGTATTTGTTTGAAATATTTTTGATTTGAACATGAACTGACAACTAGATTAGTAACATATAAGTAGCCAAATATGCATATTATACACTTTTCTCCACCCTAAAAACATGCACTAATCTAATACATTGCGATTTGTTGAAATAGAACACTTAAATTGTATTGGAGATACAATATATTGTATGTATTTTATACAGATTCAATACAACTATGTTTATATTTGTTTTTTACAGTTCATTGGATCACTAGATGTCCCCAGACCAGTGAACCGAGTCGAGATAGTGGCAGCCATGAGGCGGATTAGAGTAAGTGCGCTCTAGTTGTTTCGCTGTTATTTATTTAAAAAGAAACAATATAAACCTTTTAAAATAATTTGTTTTTCTTAAAAGTTGTCTTATAGTATTACATTATAGCATTGGTTAATATTATCCATTCAAATAAATAACATAAATTAATTGTTTATATGTTTATTTTCATTGCTCACAGTACGAATTTAAAGCCAAGGGTATAAAAAAGAAAAAAGTGTCCATAGAAGTTTCTGTTGAAGGGGTTCGAATCACATTAAGAAAGAAAAAAAAGGTAAGATTAAACCTTTTATTTACGATGTTTATTTATATTTCACATATTTTTTATGCGTACAAAATTCATTATATATTAATTATTATAATATGAAATACGTTTTTATCCTATTTGAAGCAATAGTTAGTAGTAAATATTTCTTACTTTTTATCTAAGGTATTGTGTCAAATTAGAGTATTTACTAAGTAAAAAATAATTAATATTCATCGATAAACAATTTCATTTATGTTCTTTCTAAAACCAGAAATGAAAGTGTCTTCTCTTGAAAAACGTATAACTTTTGTGTATTTTTCATGATTTTGTATAATATACCTTTCGATACGTTATAACTTTTGTTAAATATATTTAGAACATGTAAAACTTAAAAGCTAAAATTACATCAACAATTAATAGTTTAAAAATGTTTGACTGTGTTAACCACTCCGTGTCACGAATGTATATAATTATATATAAAGGTGTACAAAGTTTAAAATCTGTATATAAAAAAAAAATAATAATAAAACAACAAACAATTTTTATAGTTAGTATAAATAAATGTTTATTGTTAATTGTAGGTAATAGGTACTCGTTGTTTTTGTATAACACGAAAGAGTACCTAAAATGCTAAAAAACATTATTTATAAACTTTGTTTTTTTTTTATCATTCAGAATCAGTTACAACAAGTACATTATAAATAAAAGTTTTGATAAATAAAAAAAGGAATTCGTATGTTATTCGCTCGATATCAAATAATTCAATTATAGTGTATAACGGATCGTTACCGTTTTTAGCTTGTGAGTTTTATTAAAAGAGTTATAACGTCAAAGAAAAAAAAAATGTTTAAACTTATTTTAACTATAGGGCGCTATTTTAAATGAAATTAGTTATGCGTAAGTACTCCAGCGATGCGCTAAATAACGTCGAGTTTAAAATAACAAAACTATAACGAATCGGCGACGCCGTGTATAATTGATTTAATGTAATTACGTTCAATGTGTATTTTCATAACTGTTATGTGCAATTTGTTAGCGCAAATATACTATAGCACAAGGAATTGAGATACTTGTCGACATAATCGCACGTCTTGAGAACTTACGCATATTTTTGGTAACCGTATTAATGTAATGTTGTTTATGGCGTTGTTATAGAAAAAACAATGGATGGACGAGAATAGCATGCTACTAATGCAACATCCTATTTATAGGTAAGCCGTAAAGCATGCCATATATCAAAGTACCTTCGCGGCGCACACACGTTCAAACAAAAAGAGCATGTACAACGCTCAGGTGTCATTTTGGACTTGTTCTTTTCAAATGTTTAAGCGTGTGTTTTATCGAAATTTAATTAGATCTGTTTAGTAGTTATACTGTTATCTACTCTGTCGTTTTTCATTAAGTTTTTTTTTTTTTGAGAAATTGTTTAAACGTTTTTTTAGGATATTTTACGTTTCTCACGATTCTCAAGATATGAAGATATTCAGTTACATCGCTCGAGACGGTTCCACCAACGTGTTCAAGTGCAATGTTTTTAAGGCCAACAAAAAAGTGAGTACCTACTTCTAAAAGTATCATTAAAATATAATATATTACTAATATGCGTCTACCGTATAAACCTAATTATTAAAAAAATTTCGTCTAAAGCGCTTTGGTTTAACGATTATTATAAAAATTGTTTTGTAAAGTCTATTTTAAAAATAGCAGGAGGTAGTCATAATGATTGCGTTGGCAGATGAAAATCGTTTTTTTTAATAACAAACAATCGAAAAACGGCGTTTAAACAAACATTATTAAAACATGTCATGCGTGTATATCTTTCGTGAACTGTCGACGATCAGAGAGATTTATGGTTTATAATCCTTTATCATAATCTCACTATAATAACAACTTAAACTTTGTTCCAAAAGAGGATAACAAGCGCAGAACTAAAACTTGCACTACCGGTTGCGCCGGTCCAACGGAAAGTAATAGTATAGTCACGATATTTATTTGCACACGTACACATAATATATAAAATGATTTGCTGACTGTCAGCCAGCTGACATTTCTAAAATGTCTATTTTATTGTTGTTTTATATAAGTATAATTTTAAGCTTTAATAACTTTTAAAGTTATTAAAGCTTAAAATTTAGAACGAGAGGTGAAGTGTGGTTATATATATTATATATGACAGTATACAGGGTGATAATGCGTGCAGATAAAATAACACCAAACTCCATCCTAAATTTCAAACTTTAATAACTTTAAAAGTAACTATCTAAAACTGGTTATCGACTAGTCAACATTTTTAGCAAATTATTTTACTTTAAAAAACTTAATTAAATGTATACGTTCCCATTGAAATTTCAAAAGTGGATAGCGCTCTGGAAAATACTAAAAAAAGGTGAATATTTCATAGTTTTATAATATTGTACAATAACATAAATAATAAAAACACATCGTTGTAAAAACAAAAAAATGTTTTAAAAATAAAAACATACATTCAATTGATAATCTTATATACTATATATATTAATGCTATAGTCTTCAAACTAGACCTGTTGTCGATCAGTCAATGGATTAATACATGTCATACGAAAGTCCTTTGATCGAAGCGTAATTGAAAGCCATTTGTTGGATAAATCCGTCGAGATGACGGCGGAATGTGTGCGCGAAACAGGTCATTTCTATCCGTCGTTTTCTATAGTTTGTCTTGCAAGTATAAACTGCTACTGCTATTCAGCAAGTATAAGATCCAATATATTATTATGATTGTATAATAAATAAACTATATAGCAAAAGCGGTTGAATGATGGAATGAATAAAATATATTGTTTTTATTTTTATGAAATATGCCTAAAAAAATAAACGAACACCCGCCAAATGGTTACTGTCAGCTGCTGTTTTGTAATCGATATTCGCAGCCGTTATTTCCCACTGGCAGGATGGATTATTATCGATATAATAATAATATATTTTCTAACGCTCGTTGATTTGCTGTGTGTGTGCACTCTGTTCTGAGAGGTTTCAAGATTCGAATACACCGCGACGACGGACGGAAACATAAAAACCCATCTTTATAGGTCTATTAGGAAAATAACATTACAATAATAACGTCACCGTCTAAAAAACTCAATATTATCTTTTCAATAGCCGAACGATGATTTGTCCATTGCCCGGTCATTTTCCCGGGAAAATCCCTTTCAGGCGTTTATATGCTTTTTGTTTGTACCCCACAACTATAACATTCCCACACGTCCAGCCGCAGTATAATTTATATGATTATACTATAAAACGTTCAATTGCGGTATTTTCTCTTTCGTGTCCAATGACGTACGGACGGGCTGGCGCATGTGTGTCGGACTTGGGCGTTACGCCTAAACGGTTTCCTCGGTTTATCTGGAAAACGTCTGCCTGGTATGTTAGCGGCATAAGTTCGCTGGAATTTGAAGAGCTCGCCGACCACTGTGGAACGTCTAAAATGAAAACACTGACGTAGCTATAAATAGGATGGCAATATGTTTTCTTTTTTGCTATTTTGTCCGTGGAAACGAAACCTTGGTGACATTCGCTGATTGATGCGTCGTCGTGCATTTTTTTCCCTGTCCGCCTGCCATACGCGACCGTGTACGGGCGACGCTACGGTTCGCGGTAATAGTCGCTTGTATTACTCGGCCGCAAAGTTGTCCAGCTATAAATCACCCGAGACCCTATGTTTTTACTATATATACACGTATCCGTTAATGGCGTTTTTTTTTTTAAGTATATTATTTTCTGTTGACCCGAACTTTTGTTGCCATCAAATTTCAAACAGTTCTCGTTTGCGGTTATTATGCTCTATGTGGCGTCGCTTCTACGTTTACACGAGTGTGCCGGTTTCAGACTTTCAAGACACCGACCTGCGCTTGTGTTTTTATTTTCTGGAAACTGCACCAACTCTTAACGTTTGAATTATCTCTTACTTCTAGAAATCGGGTAAAACAATCTCAGAGTACCGTCGTTTGTCCTAGTCTGCTATTATTTAACCTCTCTAGCGGACTATCTCTATACTTATTGTTAGTAAAGCCTAGTCAATAGTTCTCTTCTTCTCGTTCGACATGACATGTAAGTACGAAATCAATGGGCCGTAAAGAAAATACTCCAATGTCAGATTATGCGAGTGATGAGTATTATATAGGTTGTATTATTCGTGTTTGGTAACATATAGATTATAGAATGCACTGAACACACAATAGCGGGTCTCGAATTTAATGCCCTTAATCTCTCATCCGTTCGAATGTCGTTAACATTTTTCCGGCCGATTTTTTCAATAGAACCGATCCGATTAGAACTTTTGTCGGAAATCCAACAAATAACAATAGTAGCGTCAAAACTTCTACAGACTACAATTTTTAAGCTAGAGAGCTTACAATTATATCAGAAGACACAAAAAAAAATGAGTTGCATGTATAATATTAACATTTAAAGGTCTAGAAGCAATAAATCTCGTAATAAATGACAACAATTGTAAAGACACCTCTTGCATGGCCCTTGTTGTATACAAAACCGGAATTATAATAGTCTTGTGGTAATATCATACGAATATAGGTAGAATTTTCTCGTTCGATAAAGTTATTATAATATAGAGAAGTGTCATTTGTGGGTGTAATTTAATCTCTTTGGTCGTTGTGTATTAGGGATGGTGAATGGAACTAGGGATTTTGAAAGTTTTGTTCGCTTTAAGCGCATAAAATGTTATACGCATAACACCGTGGACATACCTATCATCTTGACATTGACGTTGGTTGATAGACTATGAATTTTCCAACGAGCTGATCAATGGCGAGAGACCGTAATTGTCGTAAACCGTGAAATACACTTATTGAGGCTTTCTGCAATATGCGAAATCAACTCGGGCTGTTACATGCGTGCGTATTCAGTTTATATGTTTGTATACACATATAATTTATTTACGAATTCAGCTATACGGACATTGACAAACCGGCGTGGCGTAAATTAGACAGGGAACGTAATTAGGCGGATTGCCAGGGACTCGCGGGGTTGGGGAGGGGGACGCCTTCTGGCCCCCCTTTAGACGTCAGATAGCGTCGGGAGTCGGGACTCGCCGGTCGATTAACGTATACTCACCGAGTTTGCCGCGCAACAAACAGCGCATTTAACGCGTGGACAATACAAACCGGAGACCGCGTTATTTGATTTGTTATTTCGATTTGGCGCGCGTGTCTTATTTTTGATCATCTTCGGGTCTTAACGATCGTCCGACCGCACACCAACACACATGGTTATGAGGAAAGCCGGGAACGCGTCGCCGCACAAAACGGCGGAGCCGCCGGTCGCCCGGAAAAAATTGTCTTTCCGGGAGCCCGAGGTGATGCCACGGGGCAAGTCGAGACTCGATGAATGGGATCTGGAATTGGACGAACAGCTTCAGGTAACATCTGAACACGCGGGGGTTGGGGCCACAACAAGGGTTGCCCTACGTAGCACGACACTTACTCGGTTAAATGTTTTAAATAGGTCTTGAGTTTTAAATTGTTTAAGGCCACAACCAGAGAGTGCATTGATGTACAAAATATTGATACATTCAAAAGTCATAGTGCGTCCATATATCGGGTTATTAAAACTAAAACAATTGGATTTTTCAAAATACACATTTCAGGACGCACGCTGACCTAGAAATTAGCATAACGGTCTGAACCTTTCCATTCCGTGGCTGATTATACTATATATATTATACTGGCTCTTATAGTATTTTGAACGACGATGGTATGTTGTAGAGTCAAGCGATGCGGGTCGTACGGACAGTGGGACAAGCGTTCGAGGTGTGCCACAGAGTTAACCCGTCCGAGGAGGGCGACTGCAGGGACGATGACGACGAGGACGAGTCCTGTAGGAACGTCGGCAGTGGCCACGACGAAGAAGACCCTGGTCGTCAGGACGATTCGGGAGACGAAGACGACGGCGACGGGGACGACGGTTCGGTGTCTAAGAGAGGTGAGTGAAATTGCATTTCCATACAGTATCAAAATAACTATATAAAATGAACCTAAACAATAATTTCTCATTGTTAACATATTTTCGATTTTTTAACAAACGACATCTCCGGTCATCGCCGGCGTGGAACTAAGGTCTAAACGGCTAAGCCAGGGCGAAACGCATGCGATGCGCGTTTTCGGCGTTTTGCAAGAAAACTGTCTTTGTCGTCGCGTTAAATTTAGACGTCCGGATCTCGTAGTTGGGCCCACATCCAAAACGTCTCACCGTGTCCATACATCTGCGTGTAAGAGAGAGTACGTTTTTTTTCCACTGAGTTTCGAGTCCACACCCGAACCCGATTACTTATCTGCAACGGCCACAAGTCGAGCTTGTGATGTAACGGCTATAATACACACAGTTACCGAGTCTTACCGACACACACACAATACTTGGCAACCCGTATGATCGTGCCCTTTAACATATTTTTAATGTGACCTTTGAGGTACGTTAATTTATTACCTAGACGATTCCAGTAGGTTATTTTGTTTTTTTACTTTCCGCCTTTCTGGCCGACAGATTTATTTATGTACATAATAATATCATACAAAAGCGATGGCGCGACGTTACAGCAAAGATACTGTACGGCGGTTTTAATACTAGCCGGTGCTAACTTAAACCCAGAGACACAGGGGGATACGTCGAATAAAAAGAATCATATAAAAATACGCATACTATAAGCACTTAATAACACTTCTTTTGCAATAGTCTTTTTTTTTTTTTTTTGGTTTAGTCGATCGATATAACTTATAAGTACGTTTACATGGATAAATTTTTCCGAAAATGCTTAATCCGATTAACGTAATCGTTTTAGTATGTAAAAAAGGTGTTTTCTGCACACTAAGTTTGTTTTCATCGATTTCGTATAAAATCGCACCGTGTGTTTTTATAGTTACATTATTCGGGCGCGTTTGTCTCTTTCCAACTAACTCATATAATATAATATAATGATTGACATTCAAATGACGTTTATTAAGCTGCTATACCGCAATTTATTCACGGCCAACCCCATTAAAACCACTATATAACAATGTCGAAAATATGTATTTTATTAATCCCAAATCGCCCGATATTTGTTAGTTTTTTTTCTGAGTAGGTAAAGAAAAAAGATTTGCGAGGGGGATCCCGGGAGGCTGTCAGTCACTACGAATGTATAACGAACAGATAACGAGTATATAAGTCGGTTCGGTCCAAAGTTTATATTTTAGAATATTAAGTGTTTTCAAACGCTACGCTGGCGGTTTCTGATTTTGATTTCGGACACGAATCAAAGGCACATATAAAACGTCAATTGTGAGTCACGGATTGTGCGTTATCATTAATTTTAGACGTGGGAAATAGTTGTTACAAGCGTTGAGTAGTGGAAAAGTCGACCGCAAACGACCTGTGATTCAGCGTTGATGATCGACGTTACAATAATGACGGTAAACTAGGATATGTGCAAGGAAATCCATCATCTTACATCTAAAGGGGAAGTATTTTCTTTATTGTTACAAGCCGTAACGAGTAATACTTTTGAATACATGTATCTAAAATCGATATTATGAACAAAATCGTCAATGCAATTATATTTTGTAATTAGAAAATGTCTTAATAATATCAGTTTGATCAAACTACATTGGTCTCTCTCCCATGTCATATTATGTAGTGTTTGATTCATCGTTATACATTGTCCGTCGCCATATTATTCTTATAATCCTTATTCTAATATGCCATATTGGTGGCTCTCATATTTTAAAGGGTTGAAGGAGGTTTCTTGGTTAACTAGCCTAGTTCAATCGACCACGGCTCGACTGTCCGTACTTTAATACTTTAAAATTAAATTTAAAAATTAACTTAAGATGAGGGATCGAATCCTTCATTAGATTTTTAGCTTATGGAATATTGAAGTGTTTTAAATGGCTTGGATTCCGCAAGACTATCTAGGCTATAGAGATGGAGCAAAGAGCAAAATAAAATATGCGTCTGACGGATTTAATTATTATTTAGAGGGGAGGACTTATGCATATGTTACGAGGTTCTGGGTTTAGGTTCCGACTTCCGTTAACAATTTGACTCGGCTCAGGGGTGGCTCAAAAAATATCTCAGTAGTCCTTGGTTATTTACTACGTTTTGCGACAAGTAGACCTTTGCCGGTAAAAAAAATATTTTGTTACTATGACCGGCGGACGTGCCCCGCTCGGTCTATCGATAGCGCGTCGATCGAATTCCGTTACGATTCACCTCGAGGAATAACGTGCTATTATATGTAAAAAAAAAACCATGAATACCAAAAATACCACACTGTTGATCCCGTGTGTTTTGGCCGGCAACCAGACCCTGTTCACACGCCCTTCATAAAAGTTGACGGCTGTCACGAGGTAAAAAAGAAGAATCGCATTCCCGAGGACCTTGTCAAACCCACGGCCTATATGTGTATCTATATGTTTTTTTCTGGACCCTCGAAATACAATATCCATACGTTGTGATAATAATATTATATTATTATTATAATGGTTATTCTTTTTTTTCTTTTTCTTCTTCTTATTATTATAATTGAGTTCGAAATGCGCACAATAACTCTATTGTGAGTGACGTTCAAGACACAAAGAATTGTATAATTTCGTACTTTTTTGGTATTTTTATACCTGAACAATGGTATTTTCAAAATTAATTATAATAGGAAATCCTATTTTTCATACACGTAATGATGTTTAACGTAAAGTAAAATTACAAATAATAAAAAAAAATCTAATAAAACACGTGTGCTCATCTCGTAGAGAGAGGTCAGCAGGAGATTACCTCGGTAAGTGAACAATTATTGGCGAAAAAAAAATAGTTTCCTCTGTTCCGGGGAAAATATTTCCTTTTTGTACATATGGCATTGCGTAGAATGAAAACGTTATTAAATTAATTTTAATTAATTTGAGGATGTTTATTGTTCGGGAAAGGGATAACCTTCTTCATCGTTCGGTCTTAAATTCTATAAAGTACCATTGATAAGATATTTCTGATTAATATACTAAATGAATAGATAACAAAATCTTTTCAGCGGTCAAACAGTAATTATCGTTTGTTCAGACACACACCAAATCACATTAATGTAAATTAATACATTTTCAGCTGTGGATCGAAGCGATGTTATGCAACAGCATCGTAGCAAGATTACAAATTTGTTACTTAATTAAATTGAACACACCCAAAGTTTCCGACAAACGTCCTAGCCGAAACGTGCTATGCGTATCGATTTTTTTTATCGTTTAATAGACAGATAGATACCGAATTAAACAACTAGGATCGTTTGCAACCTCCGACGACCATGTTACTAGCATTTTTTTTAGACGAATGGGTCTAAACAAACAACGTCGTAGTACAGTCTCTTGCCTATTCCATCGGTGAAACATGTGAGCAAAAAACGCATCGGTCATTATGAGCATTCCGTCAAGTCGACCCACACTGTTTGGCTGTTTGTTGTTTTAGAATTACTAGATTAAAACAAAAAAATGGGTGTAAATGAAGTACTATTAAAGGTCTTACGTTTAAATGAAAATTAATTGTTTGTATATGATAAAACGGCGTAAGGAATCTTGAACAGCTTGTCGCAATCGATCAGATTTGTACAAGGTTTCAATTAAATCTATAATTTTTTTTTCAAATCTTGTTTTTCAAATTGTTTGTAACTGCTTTAAATCAATATTTCGTAATCGTAAAAAGAGATTATTTTCAGTTTACGCGATAGGTAATCATTATTATCTAGGTATATTGTTGGCAATAAGTAAATAATGTTATTATGACAATAAGACAATAGTATAGCAGTATTTTCCTACTCACGTATGTAAATGTGTCAAGTATAGTCACTGATGGTGGGTAAATTCAATTACTTCGTGAAAAGTTATTATCTATGATCTTTTGTGTTGTTACAAAATATATTATATATATATATATTAGAGGATAAAGGTATTTTGTTGTTTGTACTCTGCACTGTACACGATCGCCGAGCTTACTCAAGAGTTTATTTATATGATGATAGCAGGACATCGCAGCTTATCAGTGTAATTTTAAAAAGCATATTTGTAAAGAAAGTGTGTACCTCGGATCGGTAAATACAATAAAACGTACTTCTATGACGTGACGCATAACGCGTTATCGTTTTTTTACGCCGGGAACGTTATGGTTGTAAAACGATTACACCGGGTACACCATGGTTGACGATTAAGTGTTTTCGATGAGAGTTTGGAACCGGGATCATGCGCCCACCTCGTTTGTGTACTTGGTCCGGAACTTTTTATTTCTTAAAGCACCGATGCGAACTAAAAAATAAATAAAAAAAGTTCAACGATAATACGGTAAAATTATATTTACTAAGTTCGGTACACGCGAGCGGTTTCCACTTTTTTTTTTCGTTGCCAGCTTTACAATTTCTTCCCCTTCATCTCCGCTCGTTCTTAAAGTCTCGTGGGCGGCCAACCGTATTCTATTCTAGTCCTCCGGCTAGTTGACGTCAATCTAAATTGGCCGTTTGCCCTAAGCGTACGACACAACGTCACCGTTGTGACATAAAACTGCCGCCGTTACGATAATAAAATTAAGCCGTGCTCAAAAGATTGGATGTAATAGCGGCTAGCTAGCTTGGTGGACAAAACCACTCTGCGGTGAGGAGGGGTTGCGGCGGAAGTGTATTTTTCTATTCGAGGGTCATATGCATGCGGTGAAATAGACAGAGACATTGCAGATAGTATAGTATCATCCTGCGCCGTAGCCGTTCGTGACGTCCGCTTACACGTCTACGCACGATCATCGACCGCCGCCGTAAAGACCTTTGCTGACGTTGGTGGATATTTGAAAAATCCGAATTTTTCGCATAACCGTGTACACACTACACGTACATACCTATTACATATTTTCCCCACGCGCTCGAGTCACGCGGGCGACACGTGTTCTTGTTGTTCCCGAAAAAAAATTAGTGTAATAATATCGTCATCCGGTAAATTATACATTGTTTAGGTATTGTAATTGACAAAAAAAAAAAACACTCGGTACGTACAAGTGTACGGCATTGCTAATAATGGTCGCGTGTGTATTTTCAGGCACGTTCGAAAATCAAGGTAGGCTGGACACGTCGATTACCAACGAATCTGTATCTTCGCTGGACGGAACCAGAAGAGACGGTGGTCCCGGCCACAACGCGCAACGGCCTTTGCGACTAGACATCATTCCACCTCCACCGGTTTCAAACCACAGACGTTCCTCGCCTATGGTAAGCATACGCACAACTCCATCTTGTTATATATGACAACTCCATCGAGGCTATTACCGCGACAGATACCTGATTCCATCCATATCTATCTCGAGCTATTGCTTCCTCGTTTTGTAATACAATTTACACTACTAGATCCTTCTCGGTTATCACTTCCACTTTGGTCGACACACACAACACTAGACGCCAAAATAATATACTTCTATTTTGTTTTATTTCAAACTGTGTCGGTTAATCATTTTTCACATCTTGCGTTGCAGAACGGCAGTGAGGTGTTTAGTTCCCCGATGACTGAAACATTAAAAGGCGAAGGGATTGCGTTGTCCTCATTGAGCGTCCAACACGAGATGCAGTTGTTGCGCCAGCAGCTGGACCAGCAGACGCACCAGACCCAGGCGGCCGTGGCACAAGTGCACATGCTCAGGGATCAGTTGGCAGCCGAGACAACGGCCAGAATGGAAGCCCAGGTATGCCCAGAGTACCACACTGGTGGAAATCATAAATTATGTACCGGTCGGCGGTAAGACCGACTTTTGGCACACGTTTCGTGGAATTGCAATAGTTTTTAGCAAAGTTTCTCTTTGAAACCGTGCCAGCGACAAAACAAACTATAGTCTACATTGTAAACAATAACACACATATCTGGAGGCTGCGACAGATTTTTTTCTCACTATAACTACTATAGTGTATAACATATTGATTGCCGCCGTCGTATGAAAGATAAATATTTAAGATCAAAATCGTTACGTTCGGCACTTCTTCTTCCTCTTTTTTCCGAGCCAGTATACATACTGCCTACCACCTACCTATAGTTTATTTTCCGAAGACCAAAACGTAATCCACGGAAATTTCCGGTTTATTATAGATGTCGGTAGTTAACGTTGGTTTATGATATTGGCGTCGGACGGCTGTACAGTAAATCCATAATTCAATTTTAGTCTTACCGTGTTCTCGCCGAGACCATTTTAATAATGCGTTAGAAGCGTGAAACGTGTGCTATAATTAAAGCGGCTACTCGCGGCCGACGTGACCGGCTGCGTGTTATAATAATAAATCCCTATATAACTCTTTTTTGTGTGTTCAAATTTTTCCACAGGCACGAACTCATCAACTTCTGGTGCACAACAAAGAACTATTAGATCATATAGCGTCCCTGGTGTCGTTGCTCCACGACCAGGAACGGATCAGGAGCGATCTGCAACATCATTCTTTACCTCCGGTGAGTACTGTCTACTTAGATTGATCTGTTGTTTTCCGCCTTAACGGTTTTTTTTTACAAACAATAATCGCTGCTACTAACATTTGAACGTGTGTTGGATATTTTCCATTCCTACTGGACGATAATAATAGAAAGTCAAAAAAAAAAAAAAAGGAATCGTTCGGATTTGTTTGTCTCTCTTTTAGCCGACGACGCGACGGGCCAAACGCGTGTAAAGCTCGTCGTAGTAACGTTGTACTGTGTATTGTGCTATAGATTATGAACATACCCAACGATACGGTTGGACATGCATTTTTAACGCTGACTCTTGTTTGGTGTGTTTAACCGTTTTCATGTAAAATGACCTACCCGGGATATCCTGGACAATCCGGTACGTTGAGTTTTGTTGTACTTTAACACATATTATTTTATTGTCATAAGATTTAATCGTTTTACCGCTTTATCAATACTATTATTTTAATTATATGACAATATCAAACATTACATCGTATGTTCTTGTTGGTGTAGCATTCGATGATGTGCGACATGAGCACTCCGTCGTCGGCGCCGGCGTCGTACATGCCGGACTTACCTCCTCTGTCGCCCCGGCACAGGAATCCTTATCACATACCCGTTAACTTCGACTTCAACTTCAATCAGCCCGCGCAAACGGCAGACCAACAGTTCCAGGCGCAGTTGCTGCAGCGGCTCCAGTCGTTGACCGGCACCATAACCAGCTCGGCCGGTAACCAGTTCCAACAGAGAATGCCTTATCAACCGCATTTGTTCGCACCGTCCCCGCACCAACAGCCCACGGTCTCGCCCACCGTCAACAGAGTGTCGCAAGCATCCTCTTACGCCGGATCTCCGGTCACCAACCGGTCAACTTCCGGAGATAGCGCCGCGAACGATGGCATTATCAAACCGCTGTCTGACGACCATCAGGTAACGGTGGTCGTCGACAGGACCGTGGAAGACTCGGTATCGGTTCCGGACACCCCGGTGTTAGCGCCTCCTCCTCCGGGTAAACAGAAGTCTTTGCTAAAAGTGTCGGGAAGTAGCGGCGCCAGCAGACTAGCGGGCGGCAAAAAGACGACAACTGTGGTGGGCAACGGGCCTATCACTAGAACGACCAGTGAAAAAGTGCCCAACAAGAGCAACTTGATGAGTCAAGTTCAACGGACAGCGTGGGCTAGGCACACGACAAAATGACCTTCTTTGAGCGGTTTCCAGGTTGTTTTCTTTTTATCCAGAACGCGAACATGGGAGTGGCCTAATTTGAATAATCCTGTTAGTGGCTGCTCATTAATGGGATGAATTTAAATTATTCGGTTTGATCAATATCCTATGTCCCGTGACAGCACTACAATCTGGAGCTATATAAAATGTGTTTTTTTAAGGCAGTTAAGTGCGTATAACAACCACACTGTTGTTTTGATTGACGGTAAACCGAACGATTTTCTATTGTATATTGTTTATCCTTCTAATGAATTCAATAGAGCTCAACCAGCATAATATATTATATTACTCATTCATTAATTGAATATAAAGCCTTGTTTTTATTTTGCGTGACATGATAATTTACCTATATTATGTATTATTATAACAGCTGCTGAGCCTCCTTCGATAATTATGAAATTCCCTCACGACCTAAAGGGACATTTTCTAGAAATTATTTTAAGGAGGGTTTTCGCTTCGTTGTGAAGCGGTTTTTAAACTAAACAATAATGAAAAATCGAGCATTATCTCAGAAGTGACATTTAAATAACTGAATATTTATTCGTCTGTGAGCTTTGGATATTATAGATATTTGGATAAGCTAACGACTTATCCAATAAAATAATATACTCTATAACAGACTGACTATTTTATATTAATACTTTTTATTGTAGTATGCCATAATACATTTTAATTTATATTCTTTTTTTTTTTTGTTAATATTTTTTAAGACTATATGTGTATATTACGTTTGTTTATATTAATTATTTTCTTAAGAAATGTAGAATTACAGCATGTATTCTCCTTCTTGTTTTTTAAATAAACTTATAATATTTATAATAGGTTTTTTCTTTAATTTGCTTCTCTTAATTTAACATACTTATAGAAGGAATTTCTTGTTGGAAATGTTATACTTTTTCAATATGGTTTTTAGTAAGAAAAAATAATTTGTATTTTGTTCATTGTTTAATCGCTGAAAAATGATAACACTTTTTTCCTTGTTGCATAACATCTAGTGAACAGTGTGAATTTTCCCGAGTCCACGTCGACAGCGACAAAGTAACTAAGTTAACCTTCGTCGGATTCGTTGTAATTATTCAAGTGGTTATTACTTTCTTTTGTACGCTTCATCAACGTAGATTCCACCGAGATTTCGCAACGTGAGAATTATGGTTATTACTCGCGTATTCCACTTTCGTGCCGAGAAAAATCAATATTATCTCTTATCTTTTATACGTATTCGTACTTGTGTTTATATTATACATACGCTTTTGTCATGTCGGAATGCGTGTAATTTCTTGAAAATGTACTTTTGTCTCTGTACCTGTCTTTTCGCTCTCTCCTATCCATTCTCCCTCATACTGGACACTTGACATGCACTCTCTTTTTCTAGCGGTGACAACCGATGAACCGCGCGCAGGCACGCCAATTAAAATTGAATAATATGCGTCGCCAATGATTTCCGAACGTCGTTTCGACTTTCTAGCACTAAAACCGTACGGCGCGATTAGACCATATCGTTATATATTTATACGGTCATGTCGTGTACAGCTGTATCGCGTCAAAGTTATTCTAATTGTTTTTTTTTCTTTTTAAACAATTTACAGCTGAGTCCTGGCTCGAAGATGTCCCGGTGGTTCGAGTTGCAGCCCGACTCCGACGTTCTGCCGCTGTTCAGGCCCGAGAGTGGGTTCGTTGACTATCCGTTGGACGAGTACCAGTCCACGGACAGTCTACTGCAGAAGAACAAACCCAAACGCAGGTCGAACCTGAGTCTTAAACTTCGGAGGGTCACTACATTTTGACAGTTGAGCGCTCGGTTCGACTTGGATGTCTAGCAGCGGACACCCGCGTACATCGTTTGAAGTTTAGAGCTTACACACACAAGGCCATTCCCTAAAGTTTGAAAACTTAAAAGTTCTTCTCTCCGTCAAGACAGTCAACGATAAAGTGCGAACATGGATGTTGCTAAGGGCTTTATACTCCCTATACCCCCCCCCCCCTACTTAAATACCGCTATATCTAATTTTTATAATTTTTACTTTTTTTTTATACTGTTTTTGATTTCATACTTGTGTATGTATATTTATATTAGGGTGGTCCTTAAATGAGACATCGTGTTGGATGGCCGTCATTCGACCTTAAATGTTCAACACATATTTCTCTTATTTTTCAGACTTGTATTTCCTCCACTAAGTCTGCTTAGTTACATCAGGTTTTTGTTATACAGTAAAATAGACAAATTTGCATACGTTTTTAATCGAATGTACTACTAGGATAATTCTTAGCAGTCAATTAGAATTTTTGTCAAAAATTTATAGAAATTACACACAAACCTATAGAAAAATATAAATATTGGACCAGTATATTTTCATTTTTGGTATTGCATCAGACTATAATGGTAGTAATCATTATTTGGAATTTGTGTAAAATTGTTTATTTCTTTATATTAATTATACATTTCACATACAAACAGGGAGACTCAAGGGATGAAATACAAATCTGGAAAAACTGAAGCTATCCAACGTAGAATTTTCCAAAAAACCAATGTAAGGAACACCCTTATACATATATATAGGCGTCATGTCGGAGGGGTGGTCGGATAATTATTATTAATTAACACAGCATGTTAATTAATATTTAGTTGAAACCCGTACCATCGCTTAGCGTTGCTTTACTGTTGTTTTCATGTTAATGGAAAATATATATTCGTAGAGCAACGGTCTAAAATCGTTTTATAAACGTGTTTTAAGTTGTACCATTTGGTTAGATCAAACATTGACAAATGTATATTATATTTATTTGATAAGATATAAATAACAAAATATATATTATATAGTATTTTAACTAACGTTTTATAATGACTTTAAAAAAATGTTACCTGCAAACTCTCTTCCTCGAATACTGGTGGTATGAAAACCAAGAGATTATTTAAACCAATCTTATTTTATATAAGTTGGTTTAATTCGCTATTCAAATAAACCCAGTAAGAGAAGACAACGTTTAAAAATACTTCGAGTGCTTTTCCGTCGATCGAGAGTAGTAATAATATAAATAAATATGTCAAGAAGTCAACGTTAGTTTTATATATTTTTTCTTTGATTAAATACTAATAATAATTATTTGTTCAGTATTATATTTATCATATTCTTTCTTACATAACAGTCAGCATTTCATTTAAGCTCAATGGTTTTACAACAGAAAAAATATACTTCCAAAGTATCGAGTGTTTATATATTAATATTTTTGAAGTTGTTTGTACATTTGGAACGTAATACGTTCAAAAGAATACATTAAAACATTATTAATAGTAATGTCAAATGAATAAGTTGCAGTATAGTAATACATTAAAAAAAAAATTATTTTCAAACAAAATATTACTTTTAAGTCATAATTATATAAAGTAAACTTCCAACTTTTTTTTAATTACTCGATTAAAAAGAAAATAAAACCTTTTTTTTAGACTTGATTATTATAAAACAGAAAACAAGAAAAAGCTCAGTTTTTTAAGCACGTTTTATACTTTAGTTAAGTATTTTTACTACCTATATTTTATCTAGTTATAAAGTTATAAAAATATATAAAATATTATAGGTTATTTGTTTTAAGTTGTCAAGTTTTATTAAGATATATTGGTATTATGAAAAACCAAAATGGTTAGATGGACAAGACATATCTGGTGTACAGAAGGGAAAATGTTAAATAAAAAACTTCATGGAAATCAGATAGAAAGAGACCAAGACAACGGTGGCGTGAACGGGTACATCAGAACCTGCAGTTGATTGTAGAGAACCTAGAAGAGATAAAGAACGATTGGAAGACGTGGAAGTTGCAGCAAAGGGTTAGTCTCATATTATGCCTAAAAAATTAATTCTGATTTCAATTATGAATGTTTGACTGATATGTATGTTATAGCAGGTACTAAAAATGAAGAAATTAAACATACCTATGTATTCTATTCTTATTTTAGTCACAAAATATTATAAAAATTAATTTAAATTAAATTAAGCTTACATAATTTGTTAAAAATTATTTAACATGTGTAATTAATGAAAAAAACTAAATTGTTTATAAAAATCCTGTAAAATCATTTCATTTCGTTCTTGTTGCAAAACAAAGTTTGTATAGAATTTAGTACATATTTTGTTCTATAGTGTAATTGGATAACTTCTGCCGAATCCATTTTAACTATCCTCAAAGAAACTTATGAAGTAAATACAAAACCGCTGAGACATTTCACGGCGACACTATATTTTAATTTAAGTATAACAAACATAAAACAATATGAATTTAATTTGATTGTGTGAAGGGACTTCAGGCTATAGCTTTGTCGAACTGCCGCTTTCTCTAGACCGTTTGTTTGTAGCATCGTTGTGGCTTTTCTGACAGCTATTTAAGACTTCCTAGAAAATTACTGTTTATATGAGTGTTTGTACTGTATATTTATTCTAAATGTTGTCAGAATATATGTTATTATCGTGTTTAAAAAAAACCAGTACAGTGGGGTCGGGGCATAGTGGGGACGGAGAATAGTTGGGTCGGGGCATAGTGGTGACGGGGAGGTCACAGGTTTACAGGAATTTTTAAATCTGAAAGTGATAAAATCACTTTCGAAAAAACGCTTCGATGCAAATCGGTAGTTAGTATTTTCAAGTCAGTACAGTCCAAACCATGCACAGTATAAACCAGCAAAGTTAGAAAGTTTTAAATGAAGGTTCTGTATTTACAAATGAGCATCAAAGCGTTAATTTGAAAGTGATTTTATCCGAGAGGACTAGTACAGTAGAGTATTGGCATAATGTAATCAAAGCAATGAGGAAACAGAGAGGTCACAGGTCTACAGGAATTATTATAAGTAAAAGTGATAAAATTGAATAAAATCGCTTGATCTTAAACTGGTCTCAGAATTAATTTAGACTTGGTAGATTTTTTTTAACTTAGAAAATTAGAAAATACTGATTATTGTGTTGTGTAAAATAATTTGCCATACTAGCCACCGTTTTACTCTATTATCACCAATAAAAGATATGTTATGAAAAAGTTAAAATACATAAGTATACCGTGATAACAACAATAACAACAATCTGTCCTAATAATTTGAATTAGTTTATATAAAAGTAAATTTAGTTGTATATCCTTCCCATTGTAAGAAGCAACTATTAAATTAACACCCATTTATTTGCAATTTTACAGTCTTAAGGCGCACTTATAAATATCAAAGTATAATGGTCACTACCAATGTTACATCCGATACACCGTGAAATAATCATACAAACTCCGGATCAACCAAATAAATAACGTTGAGCGACATAAAAAAAGCTTTGAAATCTATCCAAACTTGTGTTTCATTGCAAGATTGTTTACTGACAGTTATTCAAGCTAATATAAAGCTAGTTGAAACTACTGTTTCCGATTTTTATTCTAAATTGTCAAATCTAAATATATCTTCTCGACGCTAAAAATGTGAGTTTAACAACCGATGTCTCAGCTCTAGTACCCGGGACCAATTAGCACGGACTCAATTAAGAGCCCGAGAGCCAAACATTTTTTTTCTTCCAGATATAAGGCATATTAATGTCTATATAAAAAAAAAAAAAAAATAAAAAAAAATGCATTCATACGATTAGTTAACAAAGTTGCAAAGGACGTTGATTAGAAGTTCCGTTCTTTGAGTTAATCTTTGTCACTAGTGGGATGCTATTAAAAATTATTATTGTAGGTTTATCTGCTAGCCTGTCTGCGATGATCCTTCTCTCGGTAGGCTTAAAGTCTGGAAGACACATAGATTGACATAATAGAAGTGGCTTCCTGTTTATTACAATTTTTATGTGATTGTGAATATATATATATAACGCCATATATGAATATGGCGTTTATAAAACCGTATAGTATTAATATGATGGCTGGCTAATAGAACGGTGATCCGAATTTATCCTTATGTCGATGACATATTTATAAAATGTTACAAGTAAAAAACTATCGTTATTCAGAGAACCGTTTTAACTTTTTGTTGACATAGTATTTAATGCTTTTAGCAGTTATTTAAATTAAAAGAAAACACAGAAAATATTTAGTAAAACGAGACAACACCGACAAATTGGTAAGCCAAAATAATAACCATAACCTAAATACCTAAAATCTAAAAAATAACAAAACCCTAACTAATATCATTACAAAATATTCAATGATACAATATAAATATGTAAATAATTTTTGTTCTAAAATCCGCTTCCATAACTTATTACGTTCTCGCTTCTATTTTAACGTAACACCCGTCGACAAACTTTAGTGTTGTTGAAAACGTTGTACGAAGATTTTCTGGTTTAGGACACTTATCCGACGGATAAAACCGATAAGACCGGATCAGAGTTGAGATGACTGTTTTCATTTGAAGCATTGCATATTTGATACCGGGGCAATTCCTGTAACCAGCACTAAAAGGAAGAAACGAATACGGATGGCGACTGCGACATGCTTCGGGCAAGAAGTTGTCCGGGTTGAATTTCTCCGGATCGGGATAGATTTGCGCATTTAAGTGTAACAGAGCAGGGAAAATTGCGAACGTTGACCCTGCAGATATTTTTAAAAATTACTTTACTTAGTTATTTTAAGCATCAAATGTGCCTAATTATCAAACAAATATATCTATGGCCGTACCTGCAGGGATTAAATAGCCTCCAATCGTTGTTTCCTTTTCTACGTTTCTGGCAAGTAATGGAAGAGGGGGGAAATGTCGCATAGTTTCTTTGATTACACGTTCCAAGTATTCCATCTTTTGTAAATCATCATAGGTAGGTTGTCGATCCGGATCGCCAGAAGAATATATTGTCAATAACTCTTCCAACACCTATTAATAAGCAAGAAAAAAAATATACAATTTTTTCGTTACCAAGAATACCCAAAATGTGTAATTTTAAAATTTATATATGAATACAAAATATGGGTTACTTTATTTTGTACATCCTGATGATGAGCCAACATAAATATTATACATGCGTTCGTCATAGCTGTTGTGTCTTGACCTCCTAATACCAGGCTCCATTAAGTTGGCCCCCCACATCGGAAATTTGAACTTCTTTAAACATCATCGGATTGTGCTACGATAGTGCTGGTTTGTGCCGAAAACTCCATCGTTAGTGCTCCCCTCTCCTAGAATTTATAATTTGTTAACCGAATCAATTATGGGCGATGGAATATTTACAAACAAGATGTTTCATGAATGGAAAATGAACAGGTGAACTTTTTTAGTGTTAGATTAGATTTATTTTTTATTATAATTATAAAAAACACAACCTGAAAAAAACAATATAGTGTCAATATGTATAACCAATTGAAAAATATAATGGAAAATATTAAAACATGAAATTACATACTTACAAATTCCATTTGAATTTTATATCATACTTATAGAAAATTGGTATCTTCGGGGTTTAAGTTTTCGATGCTTAAATCGTTCGTACCAATATTTTACGAGGAAGCAAAATTCTTAAGCCAGGTGTTGTACGAGAAACGGGAAAATAATACAAATGAATGTGAAATAAGCTGGGCAATCGGTATGGCGACCATGGAGATGATCGGAAGAACCGCTTTGGGTGTAAAATTAAATGCACAGAAAAACGCAAAGCATGTATTTGTGGAGAATTTACATGTCATACTAAAGGTATACGTTCAATATTTCATGATTTCTGGAATGAATATATATTACAAGGCACACTTTATAACTAATAAGTACTTTACCGATGATGTTTTTGAGTTGGCATGTCAGCCTTTTTTAATGAAGATTGGTTTTAGGTATGGGAATACCGAATGAGACACCCAAAGCGGTTCTTCCGATCATCTCCATGGTCGCCATACCGATTGCCCAGCTTATTTCACATTCATTTGTATTATTTTCCCGTTTCTCGTACAACACCTGGCTTAAGAATTTTGCTTCCTCGTAAAATATTGGTACGAACGATTTAAGCATCGAAAACTTAAACCCCGAAGATACCAATTTTCTATAAGTATGATATAAAATTCAAATGGAATTTGTAAGTATGTAATTTCATGTTTTAATATTTTCCATTATATTTTTCAATTGGTTATACATATTGACACTATATTGTTTTTTCAGGTTGTGTTTTTTATAATTATAATAAAAAATAAATCTAATCGAACACTAAAAAAGTTCACCTGTTCATTTTCCATTCATGAAACATCCTGTTTGTAAATATTCCATCGCCCATAATTGATTCGGTTAACAAATTATAAATTCTACCTTTTTGGAACAGATTAGGATTAGTGAGAACCGCTTCTACATCTTCAGGTTTATTAAGAAATACGACTAAGCGATTTTAAATCCACTATTTGTGTAAGGTGTACTCGTATCTGTATAACAAAAACCACAAACAAATTATTGTTGCTCTTAAATTACTAGAAATTGAGAATATGAAAAGAGTATTAAACGTAATAGATAGACGTGAATACAACATAATTACTTTCTGGAAATGTTGAATGTATTCATCAAAATTTTTTCAGATCCTCCAAGTAAAAGAGGTAACATATCCATAAAAAAATATCCATTTGGACCGGGTATTTGTTTTGCCAATGATGTATATCTCCAGTTTACAATTTTAAAATAAAGAACTACTAAAAATAATATTATCGCTGTAGGTATAACGACAATGTTATTCAGACTTGTATTATTTATTATGTCCCACACCTGAAAATATCGTGTCCATTAATTAATAGTTTTATTTATCATGGTATTTTTTTCGTTGCATATAATTTAGTGCTATAACTAAAAGTTAATTTGTACACATAACATTGTTAAAAAAAGCAGATTATCTTTACTAAAATATGTGTAGATTACAGTAGCTAATTAGCTAGTACACTAGCATTGATTCATTTCCATAGATAGTTGAAGTTGAAATGGTTTTTAAATAAAAAAAATTTTCAGCCGAGTCTGCAACCACGAAAGAGCATTTTCATGTATCTTGTAAGTACTAAATAAATTTAGAGTATTGGTGGAATTATAAATAATAATATAGTATATTACCAAGCAGTAACAAGTTAGTATCTAAGGTGGCTAGTATATTAAAACATCAAGTTTCTGGCTAATATTGTAGTTTTTAATATCTGGCATAAAACTATTCATAGAGAATTTGGGCACTTAAACTATTATGAATTTATCATTTAGTCTCTTATCTCTTATCAGGTAACAGCGTAACGCATTTTTGGTAACACTAAGTAAATAACACTTTTTTCGGTTAAGTGCCAGAGCTAAGACATAAAAATGTTAAAACAAGGGCAAATTGTCATATTCATAAATTACATTAATAATATCACCTATTGCTTTTTAAAATATTTAGTAATTATGACCTAAACCTAATAATAACACATTTTAACAAAAAAACGGCTTAGTCCATTTGCCAAAATTTAAGTTTCTACCTACAATAATTAGTAACATAATATCTACACAATATTCCACTAACTTTTCGGTAAATGATTTTTTTAACCCTTTCAGGACGACACCTTGAAAAACAGATATTGATGGTCATATGCCATTTGTATTAAAATTAAATACGGGCTTAAGTCTTTTAAATTTTGTGTTACTGTTTTGTAAGAACATACCAATTCTTTAAAACAAAATAATATTTTTATGGGAACTGTTATTTTTTTTTCTCTTTTTATTAAATGTCAACGATACGCATATTATGAACTTTTCCATTGGGGATTTATCAGTTGAACCTTAGTGGAAGTTTCGGAAATGGGAATTCATAATATATAAATGTTTAAAAAGAGTTTATTGATCTTAAAAATATTTTTATTTTAGTCATAAGGTAAAGATACGTTTAGGGTTAGGTTATGGTAGGTTAATGACGATTATTTTATCTTACACTTTCCAAAGTAAGTAGTTAAGGTGATGCCGTAAGTCCAGACAAAAATAAAAAATATCAATGTAAAACCTTCTCAGCCCTGAATTGGATGAAATTTGGAAATTATAATAAAAACACGATCATTTTACGAATGTCGTTATAAACTTTTTAATTTTAGATTCTGAAGAAGATAGTAAAATTTTAGTGTAATCATTTTAACAATAAAAATGATTTAAAAAAATGTGTGAGGATTTTCTTTTTACTTAAAATCCTAGTCATAATAATTGTAATGTTAAGTTGATAATTATTTACCTGCCGAGACAAAACCATTTCATTTAATCCCATTTTTCTTACGACGAAAACTTAAGATTCTAATTTTCTATAATAAATTCAAAGCAACTATACACAACGACTAACTCGGTTTTTAATTATTCTTACATTTTATACTATCACACTACTTTATGCTTTCCCACTAGTATTTAATTTTCAAAAGGTATTATTTATGAGTACGTTCATAAGCTCTGTGAAACTCAGATTTTCATTAAAATAATAAATTTGCATACAAATAATATTGTAATATATATAATATAAGCTACTATTTTAAATTTTTTGTGCAATATATTACGTTAAATTTTTACGTTAAAATCATACAATTTTGTTTAAAGAATTCAAAACAATTATAATTATGTAATTAAATTTAGTTGAAGTAGTGTTACTGGACACCCTCTTCTTTCACGTTGTCCTGTCATTGTATTATGTATTCAAATTTTCTATAATAAATTCTTAGCAACTATACACAACGACTAACTCGGTTTTTTAATTATTCTTACATTTTTTTATACTCTATTGTCATATGCACTCCCACGAGTATTAAGGAAAAATAAATAATATTCAATTTTCAATAGGTATTATTTATGAATACGTTCATAAGCTCTGCGAAACTCACATTTTCATTAAAATAATAAATTTGCATATAAATAATATTACGTTAAATTTTGTAGTAAATCTTATATATTTAAAATAATAATACAGACATAAATGACGCTAGTAAATAGTTAAATCATTGATTTATCTACTTTTATTCTATCTTTATACACTTTTGAATATTCAATGATGTCATTACATGTTTGAAAACAATACTTTTTAAGTATTTATTAGTGTGCACGACCCAATTATGCCAGCATAATTGGGTCATGGTCTAGTAAGGGCGAAGCATAACTGAATAAATCAATCCAAGTCATTGTAAAAACAATAATTTGGTTAAAATTGTATTATTCGACTTTGTGTACCCGATAAACTTTATTTATTATTTTGTTGGTTAATGTTAACACAATAATAACATAGGGTAAGCCTACCGTATCTAAAAAAATGTAACAACAAATTATTTAAAAAAGTAAAAACAGTGAAGAGCAATAGTAACTGTTTTTTCAAAGCGCAAATAAATTTACATTAAAATTCACCAGACAAAAAAATTAGCTTGATAATTGCATCCCTTCCATAAAAAGTATTTATTCTATAATATTATAAAGGAAATTAATGAAATCACAATAGCAATAATGTAGGCAAGTGTAATTTGAATTTTAAAATACACTACACTCAATTAAAGAATATTTTATATTATGCATATTGCTTATGTAATAATGCGAAATAACGCACGATAGTTTCTTTATAGTGTAATTGTAAAATTGTGTACTTTAATATTAATATAACAAGTATGTATGCATTTTTTGAACTATATTACATGGGTAAATGAAATAGTTTTTAGATGCAGTACATTCAATACACGTTGACAAATCAAATTAAAAACTTATTAGAGACTTTTTTATTTTTTTTTAAACATTTATTATGTATTAGAAACGTATTTTTGTTGTATTGTGTACTTTAAATAGAAAATCTACCTGAAAAAAAATTAAAACTCTAACATTGAGTCTTGGATGAATAACAGTTAACAATTAAAAATACCAAATTTAAATTGTATAACTCATATTGAACGAGAAGCGGTTCGTGCCGGTAGAATTGCAGTCTACCGCAATAAAAAAAGATAAAGCGAATGTTGTTATTATCTCTAATATGCAAGCAATCTTCAGAAGTAATAGTCTCACACATGTTGTAGACATATTTTGTTCAGCCATATGTACAATAGTAAACAGTATTAAATTAGTCATGATAATCATCTTGTTTTTTTCCAAAAAAAGTCAGTATAGTAGGGTCACGGCATAGTGGGGACGGGGAGGTCTCAGGTTTACAGGAATTATTACAACTGAATGTGATAAAATTACTTTCAAACAAACATTTTGATGCTAGTTTTTTAACACTGTACCTCACTTTAATATTTTCTTACTTTGCTGCTTTTTACTGTGACTGGTTTGGACGGTACTGTTATAAAAAAAATACTTCTGATTCGCATCGAGGCGTTTATTTACTAATAAAAATTAACACTTTCAGTTATAATAATCCCTGTAAATCTGTCACTTTCCAATGCCCCCACTATGTCCCGACCCCGCTGTACTGGCTTTTTAAACCCCAATACATGTTTTACATGTTTTAGGTTTTTTAATTTTGGCCTACCGTTTGGTAATGGGTAAGTATATTTTCAAGACATTAAAGTAAACTGTTCATTTGCAAAATACAAGACTAGCGCATTGTGGTTGAGACTTAGTGGAAACCAGGTCACGTTTTGTTTAGAAATTATTAATACATACTTATGTCAAAGTTTCGGAAATGGGAATTCATAATATATAAATGTTTACAAATGGTTTATAGATCTTAAAAATGTTTTTATTTTAGTAATAAGATAGATACATTTTGGGTTAGGTTAGGTAAGGATAATGACGATTATTTTTGTTACACTATCTAAAGTATGCGGTTTAGGTGATCCATGTGCTCAGACACAAATATGAAAACTAATTAAAAACATCAATGTAAAAACAATACCTTCTCAGCTCTGCATCGAAGCTAAAATATTCATATATCAAAAACTAAGTTGTTTATTCTTTATTCTATATCGCTATGATAAGTTGGTTTTTTTTTCAAATTATACTTATAACTATTAAAATAACAGTGCAGTAAAAAAAGGTTAAGAGATAAAAAATGGATAACATTTGTTTTTACGAAGTTTAATACATACATTTAAATTTAATAAATTAGATAATTATTAATACCAATGTAAAAAAACCAGTACAGTGGGGTCGGGGCATAGTGGGGACGGAGCATAGTGGGGACGGGGAGGTCACAGGGTTATAGGAATTTTTAAATCTGAAAGTGATAAAATTTCACACAGAATACGTAGCTAAGTATATAATTATTACATTTGATAAAAAGACAGTTTTGAAAAATCGGTGACCTAAGTCGTTTTTGAAATGGCCGATTTAATTTAATACTTTCTAACTTTGCTAGCTTACACTGTGCTTGGTTTAGATTGTACTGCCTTGAAAATACTAACTACCAATTTGCATCGAAGCGTTTTTTCGAAAGTGATTTTATCACTTTCAGATTTAAAAATTCCTATAAACCTGTGACCTCCCCGTCCCCAATATGCTCCGTCCCCACTATGCCCCGACCCCACTGTACTGGTTTTTTTAACATTATGATATTGTGATGTAATGTTTTTGCAGGATTTAAATGTACAACTCCTTTTCTTTGCTTATCTTTTTCTCTTTCATCAGCGCAATATTCTTTGTTTCCTCTTAAATCCCGTATATGTTGAAGGCTTTTAAGGGCTCGTTTACTTTTCCTTCCCATGTTAACTTAATGAATTTAAAAAAAAAATATGCCTAAAATAAAAAATTAAAAAATTAACTATGACACATGAAATACAACTCTAGACGTCAAACAACTTTATTATACCACATAACAATATGATTAATCCATATACACAACAATTTCCATGTATTTATAAAGCACATATATTAGATTAATAGAAGTCCTGATATTATTATTGTAATTTTCTTGACTTAAATACACATTTTTATAGTAATGCAAATAATTTTTTTAACGTCATCATAAACATGTCCATAAAAATTCAAATACATACCCATTTATAATAGAAGCATACCGTCAAACATAATTTATGATAGTATTAATAACAATAATTGCAGGTATATAACAAAGTTATCATAACAAAAAGTTGCACACGGGTATAAAATGAAAAGCTTACATAAATGTTAATATTTACCTGTAACATTTACAAAACAACAACAACTTATTACATAGATTAATTTCTTTATTGTCAAGTAATCCCCCAAAAAATTACAGTACACAAAAGTACCTTTTTTTGTAAATTTCTTAAATGAAACTATTCTTTCAATAATATTAAACATAGCAATGTTATTTATAAAAACCAAAAGCTCAAAAAAATGCCAAAAACACTACTGAGTTATAAATCTTAGTAATGTAAACAAAAAAAATTCATTAAATTATACAAATTTGTTTGAAATATTAAAAAATAGTATCTGGAAAATTGCATTTTACATTGACTAATAATAAACAATATGTAACTGTAATGTAATGCATAAAGATAACAATTAGAGACGATGTGCAATAATAACCTCTATATTTCAACCATGTTATTACCTACACTGTGTACGTATAAACATACAGTTTTGAGGTTTAATACGTTACTTCCCTAACCTATATCTAGCATACAAGACATAAATCATGACAGATGTTTCTAACACCAACTTAGTTCTGACTTCTGTCATAAGGTAACATACGGATAAATATAAATAAATAATAATATAAATTTAATCGAATCAGCAATAATGAAGCTACTAAATACTAAATAACAAGTCACTTATCAAGCTGAATCTCGGCAAACACTCCCAGCAATTAAGACGGTGTGCAGGTGGTTTTATTCGAAGGCGGAAATTTAACACCGAAAATTATGTAAAGAAAATATTTTTTTATAATTAAATATTTTTTACAATATGTAAATAAAAATAATAATACTCGGAACGACAGCGGATTGACACTCCGGATCAATTTTAAATCAATAACTGATAATCGAATTATCGAATACTGACTGACAACTACCTACAAATGTCATCACCCCCCGACCTCTCTCTCACACACCATGACCGGCTCGGGCCGATAAGGGGTTTTTCGTTCCCACCTGTACCGTGTACATAAGACGGTGGACAGTTGATAACGCGATCGGGCGTTTATATGGTCACGATCGAATATTATTTTGTCTCGAAAATTGATAATTACAACAACTATACACTATAGTATAAACAACTCATGTTATCATTTCTCACGAAATGGCTGCCAATTAAAATTAAATTAGTTACTTAAATTAAATTCAGTCATTCCGCAAAAAGTTCAAGTCCAAATCGATTTTATATCAACTGTGACTTAATAAAATCCACAACCAGTTAGTTATATTCTGTTGACAAATTGTTTTTTATTAAATAATGAAAATTGATAAAATAAACATCAACTACGTCATAAAAGTTTTGTACAGCGCGATACAAGTTACAACCAGAATAAAAACTAGCGTTTTTGTAGAGATTTAAAAATACTATTTGAAACGATATAGAATATTTTCTATCATAACTGATTTCATAATTCATTACGGAGCAGATAAGAGCGCGCATCAATAAGCCGTTCGTACACACGATGATGCCAATAGAACAAAAAATTATACTTTTTTTTTTTCGTTTTTCACATCTGGTAGAGTGCGTTTGTACTTAAAAAAAAAAAAAATTGAACTTTGTGTAAACTTTCGTCTGTGAAGAGTTAAACTTTTTCAACTTTTACCCCCCCAAAGTACCAACTAGATGAAAATTGCGATTTATAGAGTTGCTATTCGAAAGAATTGGTCCAGTATTAAAGAAGTTACAGTGTATACAGATAAAAAAAAAACACACATCAGAGTAAAACCAATACCTTCTCGCTTTGCATCGAAGCTAAAAGTAAGGATATGTCTTTTTATTGTTTGTATGTTTTTAGATTTTTGGTGACATTGATAGTTGAGTGATATGTAATAAATAAAATACGGTAAATGTAGTAAAAAATAAATACTAATGTGTGTAGGCAATAAAGAAATGGTGATTGAAAATATATTTATAGTTTTTTGCATGGCCCACCTAATTTGCATTAGATAGGTCGAGAAGCAAAAAATTATTTTTGAAAATCACCCCACTCATTTTCGAGACATTGGTGTCGTTGCTCATAATGATAAAATGAGACCCTAGAAACATCCTCAAGTGCATTTTTTGAAAGTTGAACTGAAAGATCAAACTGTTTTTCTACGCGCTAAATATATGTGGCGTGGCACCAAGAATATATTATTACAAAGTTATTGACCACAAATATTTGTATTATTTTAAATGTAAGTACAATATTATTATTATAAATATCATCTTTTTGTCATTGAAATAAAAACAATATGTGATTGAAATATCTTTGTTTATACCTACGTTGTATGTGCATTTATTTTTTTTTAATTATAAACTTGAAATAGTAATGCAATATTTTACACTTACAGAAAACAATTTTTCTACTTGAGATGTCTGGTAAATGCATTATTTTTCAATTTTTGAAAGGAATGTTCCAAACTCTGCTATAATTGATTATTATATTTAAATGTCTATTGACCTAATACAGGCTTAATTATAAATGAAGGAAGCATAGATATGGGTCATAGATAAATATGTCGTAAGTAATATAATAGCAAAAATAATATTTATGTCTACGACATAGATTACCAAAATGTTTTATCGTATAATACTTGATCTTATAATTAGTATAAAATAAATACTTTGTATTTAGTATTTACTTAAGAAACACGAAATTTCTAAGACGAATTAACTAGAATTGAAAGAGGAACTTGTAGAAATGATGGGGAATATATGAATATATATTTTAGGATACAAGGTCAAGTTATTAGTTATTGGTGAATGTTGGAGGCGTGTAAATAGTTTTATAGACGTATCACGTTGAGGATATGTATGATGGTATGACGCGGATTGACATATGTGCATGTCAGTTTATAGTAAATTTCGACTTACTTCAAAACTGTATATTCACAACCACATCAGATCGTTCAACGGTTTCTTACTTTACTAATGCATGCCGGTTTGCGACTTAATGAGTAATGATTATTAGATATTGAAACTTATTATCATTATTTGTTTATTTACGCCCAAACAGGCAATTTATACAAAAAATTATTTTATACACCATCATACTATAAATATACCAAACGTGGGAGAAAAGTTTACTTTACACTCGCCCAAGTCGTAATTGATCTTAAGCCAAGTAAGGATGCCAAACAGTTACTCCATATTCTAGTATGGAGCAAACTAGAGCAAACTAAGGCATACGTAGCCTACGATTTGCCTACGTAACGTAGGTAAATGGTAGAATCTTAAATGGTTTTAAAATAAGGTGAGAACATACTATCTATTTCTTCATCGCATCGTAGCCAATGGTTCAAAATAACAGATCGAACTTGGATTGACCGTTAAGTTTTGTTATACAGTACAAAAATACTTTATACATAAAAAACAAAATCTAAAAAAAGCAAACTAAATGCGAGCAGTACCTATGTACCTTTTCATCCTTAAGCAGAATGTTTCGTTAAATTCCACCGAACTTCAAATGAGCCTTGCAGCTACAGCACAAAAAAGAGAAATGTATGTATATTATAAAAATATTATTCAAGTAAACGAAAATAAAGATCGTATATCATTCTGAAATAGACATATCCCATATAGGTACCTATTAATCTGGGTTTGGACTCATGAATTATGAAAACAAACCATGTTTTAGATAAAAATACGTCCATTGGTGGCCGACATGTAAAACTTATGAAATGTGACTGTCAATTTGGGGTAAAATTTCGTTCTGCTTGCATTGCTTTTATTTTTTTGACAATATCTTAGAAGTTGACACTTATTTTAAAATCCGTAATAATAGATATTTTAAAAGCATTTCGTACAAATGAGTCGTTCTAAATTAAAGCTCATTCAGAAAACTCTGTAGGTATGTATGTTGAGTCTGTAAGTTAAGATACTTATTTTATGTGAATTAAATTACAATTTTTAAGTTTTTATTTTTAATGTTATTTTAGTTATAATAGGTATTAGTTTGAATTGGCGTGGCTGAATCTTTTTGGTTTAGACTTATACCTAATTTAACTAAAATAGCTTTAAAAATAAAACCTTCAAAATTGAAATTATTAACAACCTTACTTCACCTTGAATTGTTTATACGATTACTGACAACGGAAACCCTATTAATTTGAATTATATCAGTTATTTAGAATTTTAAATGTCACCATTATCACAGGTACAAGATTTAGAACCGATCATCCTTAAACCAATATTATACCCTTTGTGCTCGGTATCATAGGAATTATTTCTTACATTTAGAGTTAGGCGATGCTTTGTTTTATAGGTGGTGTTCGTTTATTAATAGTGTATGAAAAATATATACTATATTTTATAAAGGGAAACCACGCCAGCCTGTAGTAGTTTATGAATTATCATAATATAATATATATATATATATATATTAATTAATTTGAGTAAAACATACATAAAGTAGTTTTTTTAGTATGGCATTAAACTATTTGTCGAGAACGAAAGGCAATCATTTCCGTTCTATCGATTAAAAACACTTTGTTTCTGTTCATTTATGATAAAGGCGTAGAACTAAATGGTTTTTGAGTAAGCTTACGAACACATTCAGGAAAAGGTTGAAAGTATTAAACGCAACATTTTAACGTAATTAAACACGGGGGTTTCACCTATCGGGCGGGATTCCTGTTTTTTTTGCCCTAGTTCCGTTTGGTTGACATATTTCTATTTTTTTCATTTTTAATTAACCTGAGTACCCATTAACTTTGAATGTGTTTGCCCTACTGTCCATAATCTCTGTATATCTCACCACCGTCGTTAGCGGTGGTTTTATAAAAATGTATTCGGTGTATTAGTGACAAGACGTGTGTTAGTCATGAGTGACAATCCGGATAATCCGGCTCGGAGGCGCAGTCGGACTGTCAGCTGGGATCATTCGGTCGGCAGAGGCAATGGCATATCTACAAAATCTTTGTCAGATAAAAGTCCTCAACCTTCGCAGGTAATAAGTCGCAAATATTTTGAGCTCTATTACCAGAGTTAGCGAGTAAAAATGATTGAGCAGTCGGTTTAGATCTACTTAATTTGTAAAAAGATATTGCTAAAAAAACAGCAATATTATATAATATTTGTCCACAACAAAAATATATGGATTGTAATTTAAACGTAATGTTTCAACGAGTTACCAACTCGTATATACACTATCACCTTCTTTTAAAAAACATATTAATTGATGAGTAAAATTACTGAGATAATTTCCTGAAAATTTCTCATACATCTCTACCCGAAATCTACTACGTAGAAAAGTGTACAAGAAAAAAAGTTTATTTTATTAATTATTTATGAAACCTACTTCTTGAACTAGTTACAGCTAAAATTTACATTAAACCCCAAAAATAAAATCAATTTTATTTTGCTTATACCAGTTAGACTTCATTATTACTTGATTAGTATTATACACATGCAATTTAAATTCATAACTTAACAAATAAAAGTAATTATACTTATAATAAAAATCAATAAAAAAACATAAAAATCAAAATTAAAATAGTAAATTTATTCCTCAATAAGTGTATAGATTTATAAACAATAAAAAAATATATTAGTTACTATAGGTATTTGTTTATGTTAGTTTATATAGTATAGGTGTTACTAAATTAACCTAATTATAAAATACATTTTTATTGTGATATTCAATATTACTAGGAAAAAGAGACTTATTCCTAGCTAGTATATTCCTAGCCTTTTCTGGTACTCATATAAATGGTCTCATTTGTGTAATAGTCTTATAGTAAGGCCATAATATTTGATCAATAGACTTTTCATCGCATGGAAAGAATCCGTTTTATTGTTGGACTACACAATAAATATTTAAATTTAATTATTGAATTGTTAGTGGTTTGTTAAATTATAAGTGGTTTTATTTTAAAATTCTAACGCTAATAAGCTAACAGCAATGTGGTAAAAACCGAAAAATTTAGTATTTTAAATAATGTTTTAGTTTTTCTGTAATACTATTATAACATTTTGAACTACTTAAATTTATAATGTTGAATTATATTTGTAAATTTTTGTATGTGAGTACCGTAACATATAATAGTTATTAAGAAGGCGTCACGCCACACATTTATTAAGGAGTAAAGTATAGGGATTTTTTTGCCAAACATTAATTTAGAGCCTGAAGTAAAGTGTATACTTATAAATATAGTAATTTGGATCTTCATTGGTGTTATTTTTGTCAGACTATCACATAAATTACAATATTTCCCCCGGGACAAGTTTTAACAGTAGCGTTAGAAAATTTTAATTTTTATATATTTATACTCCCTATTTTTTTTTATAAACAAAAGAAAAAAACTAATCTTTACGGACGAGTAATGTTGATTGTGTTTAGGTTATCAAAAAAATAAAAAAACATTGTGGCATAGATTGTTTAGACAAGTTTGTTTTTATAAATTGTAAAAAATGTAAAAGGCTACTGTAAATACTGCCTCCACATAACTGTCCTGCGAAAAACCATTTTCTACGGATAAATTACGGGTGGGTAGAGCTCTCTTAACTGTTTTTATTTAAATTTACTTTGTTATACTTGTTCAATAATAGTGTTCAGTGTTTTCATGGAAGTATATAGAATTTTTATTTTCGAGGTAGTTGTGTTTACTTTGTTGATGGAGTTTCATACAAAAAGTGTTTGTTCATGACATAATTTACTGCGAGGACTGCATTTTTACGATCCATATTGTGTTGTACATGTTTATATTACTTTACAGGTATAGCATTTTTTTTGGCAGACCTTAAAAGTTTAATACCTTTTTATTATTACCTTTTAAAAATAATTCTGTTAATTTGTTATTTTAGTGACGGAAACCCTTGACATTCACATTAGTTTCTCTTAGTTATACAGATCAATTTGAATTGTATTGAAGTATGAAATAATGTGACAATACCTATATAAAAAACAGAGATTTTTATTAAATTTCTTTGTTAGTCTCACCGGTTGCACTATGTGCTAACAGGGACTCTCGAAGAGTTTATACAGCATCGTCTGAGACGACAGAAGCATTGCGGCCATTTTTATAATCTTACATTATCAAATAACTAAGAGTCCGATTTGTTTAATTTAAGTTGTTTAATTCCGTCGTCCCTAGAATCTTTTTAATATGTTTTGTCGAGTACTTGTAAATACTATTTTAAGTTAATTTTGACATGATTTTGTAATTGGAATCGCAAAAAAAAAGACACCCGAATATGTTTAGTTTATTTAAGTTTTACAATTAGTTACATAGCAGCAACAATTACAATTGTGCGCCATTCCATTAGACAGCTTGTAGGTAGAAATTAATTTGAAATTGTTTCATAAGTTTTATGAAGTTTTCTAGTTAGTAAAACGTATTTCTTTACTACCTGATAGAATATTACAAACGAATACATAATTTGTTTGTTAGCTATATCGTCGTAAGCGGATATCTCATTGCAAAAAAAAAATAAATTAGCATAAATAAAAATAAATAGATTAGCAACATGCTTATCTATTGACTTCATGTAAATCTTAGCTTTCCAAACCATTCCCTGCGAAAATTTAAACCAGCTAACACAATTCGGCCAAAACTTGAGACATTCGGTGTTGTTACTCAAGCGACGACAATCCATTAATAAAGAATTGTATGTTTTTATGTTGGCACATCAATATACTTTTAATGAACTATATTTAATTTAAATGTTCATAATTCATATTATTGTTATTTTTACGGGAACAAAATGTCTCATTCTGACCCCTTAAAAATTATGGTACAAGATACAATTACTATACATATATATATATATATATATATTAAATCGCTGGAATGAAATATAACATTATTATGAAACAAGAACCATTACAAAAATGTGATTATTCAACAGTATAAGAACAGTAAACAAATAGTGGTATTACTTTTGGGGTGGGTTAGTTGAGGTTTCGCGGTTGAAGGATTTTTTGTATTGTCCGATGACGCTGTCGATGATATTACGTGCCTTGTTGTCCAGATACTTCTTCCGAGATCGACCACGACAAATGTCTGGTATCTTGTTAGATAAAGGTTGCTTCGATAGCGACTGAGGTGGTGTAGACACTATCGATATCCGTGTACTCATCGGCTGAACGTTTTGAACGTGATCTGATGTGATGGCCGGCAAAGTTTCCTTCAAGTGTTTGGAAGCGATTGCCGATTTTACCATCACCTTGAATTCGTCGAAGGTTTTTAATATACCATGCTTGGCCCATGGATTTTCTGTAGTGATCGTGGATATGGTCGTTCGTGCAAAGAACACTATTAGAATTGCGTTTAAGGTGACCACATACACAGTCGAGCCCATCGCGGAAAATAATGTTGATTATATTTGTGTACACGGTTGCCTTGTACACAGTTATTGTTACTAGAATCTGTTATTTTGCTCAAAGTATTTACTATAGCCAGATACTACACGGAACCTCGGGCTTCGAGACAATATTATATTTATCATACATAAATCTGTGTACAAAATTCAAATCGTTCAACAAATAAACCTATATAAATGTGGTCTTATAACAAAAACATAATATATCTTAATGCGATTTTGTTTGTATTTTTACTTGCCAAAATACAATCTCTGTAACATTTCTGGTTAATCGATACTTGTTCTTTGAACTTACATTTTTATATTTGTACTTATTTATTTAATAATTTCTAGTGACAGGATATAGTTTTCATTACTGTAAAACTTGTTTAGCTCCTTTTTCCTGTAGATCGGATGAAAGGTGTGCATAAAGGACAGACAGACATTCATTTATATATATATATATATATATGGATACTCTACATATGTAGATATACACTTAAGAGCAATATTTGTATATTGATTAGGTATTATACATAGCCTGCAAGTATAAATTTTGCATTAACCAAATACCTCTACATTGATAGATTTTAGAATTAAACCACGCAATGGATAAAATCGTACAGCTTCGTCGCGTTTGCGAATCCCTGGCATATTTTGCGCGAAAGGATAATTAATTAGACTTCATTCTTCTGAATAGAAAAGAGATAATTCAAAACGACGGTGTCTTAAACAAAGTAATGTCTGACAAAAGCTCAATCTCTGATGGACATATTATATGCTCTGAATGAGTATTTTATCCCTTTTAAGATGAATGTACTGCGCAAAAACGTTAAGGCATATTATTAATGAGTATCGTTTGCAAGCAAATATAATAATACAATAAGTATACATTTCTACAACATAACGTGGTCTTGAAATTCAATTGAAATTCCTGACGCTTCCCACTAATAATTTCTATGTTGATGTATGAAATATGAATTAATAAATAATATTAATAATTCAAAAATAGTTATAACCGGTAACTTCATAATACCAAAAATGTATGATTAGGAAGTTAATATATATTGTCTGAACAGAGTGTCCTGATGGAAATTATTCAGGTTATTGTAAGTGTATTTAAAAATAAAAAAATAATAAGTAGAGCATGTTTTATTAGCCATTCCAAATATTCGTTGTACTATTACATAAAAACTTTAACTATTATTATAAAATTTAATTTGCGTGAACTTACAGTATTATCATATGTTTATAATTGGCCAATAATAACAATTAACAGATTAACCCTTTAAAATTATTCCAGGAAAAGAACATTCTGAATTACGACCCTATTTTTAATTATTGTAACATTACTACGAGCTCTCTTATTAAAAATTAACAAATCAAAATAAACGATATTTTGTACCTATAACTATAGTTTACTTCTATTTTGAATACAAAACTAAATCAATTTTCGAAAAACATATTAGAACAATAACTACATTAATTAGCTATGAATTATGACTTTTTCAGAATATTTATAGATAATATAAACAATACTGAGGTTAGCTCATAGTTAAAAATTGTCTTTTATAATTAAGTTTTGGTTTGTTTTTTAGATCAACATTATAAAAATATTTAGTGGCGTTTTAGATTATAAAGAATAGG